AAGCTGCTAGCTTTCCTTCGAGAGCACAAGAACACCGCTCGTGGAGCCCAAAATGTATTGAAGTCCATGCGCAAGCTCCACTAGAGCGGCATTCTCAACGTTTATATCCGTAGCTACGACCAACGTCACGCTGCGGGACGCATCACCGACCCTGCACCTTTGCATACGAATAAAGTCGTAGCGTTTGATTTCATCCAGTACCAACACGCTACCTGCCTTGTCCAGTCGTTTCCTATCGATTTGCTCAACCTTGAAATCATTATGCAATTTACACCCCACCTTACAGTCCGACTGCTCTTCATGCCAACGATCAATCCGATCAAGCATCCTGTTAGCTCTTGGAAAGGGTTTAACACCCTGTGTATCACAACAGGCAAGGCGTACAAGCTTCGCCTTGATGATGAGGCGATTCGCCATCTCCGACTTAACTTGAACACGATTGTTGCATCAGCAAGCCTTCTTCTCGAAGCCATTAAAGCCGCCTACGAAGCCATGAAGGAGCGGAAGAAGCGACAGGCTGGCCTTGACGATGTTCGCGAATGTCTTGTCGAGCCTCCTCCATCGGAAGATGACGACGATCATGTAGGCGGCGAGAAGAAGCTCCACGTACGCAAGGTGATGACGTGGAAGTGCGAGAAGCGGCAGACGTACTACATCGTAGACTGGAAGCCGACGTGGGAGCCGAGGGAGCACATCCACAAGTCTGTTGTTGTTGCTCTCGAAAAGGAACGCCGCCTTCTTGTTCGCAAGCGCTTCTTCGAGGACGAGGCTGTGGAGGACAACTCACTCAACGACGCAGTAGGTAACGCAAAGTAAGCAGTAGGGGCTAGTACTGGGTGTATTACATGCTTAAAAGTCATAGCCTAAACTTATGCATTGATAGCACCGTATAGAGCACTAAGCTTAACCTCCATGTGGAACAGCAAAGTTAACCTCGTTACAGAGTGCACAAAATACACATATGAGTGCTGCGTCAAACACAAAGTTTAACCTCCTTTTAGAACAGCAATTGCATCCTTAACGCAAGAGCACACAGCGCATAGACATCAGAGGTGGCCACATATCGCAAATACACGAAATATACAAACACGCGGATAATCAATTTAGCAGACCGATGATAAAGTAATAGCGGCTGGCTAGCGGTTGGGCGACTTGTCCCTTACCAGAAAAGGAACAAGAATGAAGCTTTGTTTTTTTTTCGGCTCCACAGGCGAACCGTTTAGAGACAACCTTACTGATAAGGGTTTACCCACATAGCAAGTCGTTGCTAATAGTAATTACGGTAAAAAGTGCCATAAAAAGGAATGATCTGCTTCAATTAATGAACTCCGATTTCTGACCCAGGGCCTCACTTCGCTTTATGCAGAGTAGAGCGAGCACCCATTCGGGCTTGAAAAATGCATAACCAGTAAATTGTCGTTATTATAACCCACAGGTTTAAGATTGCGGCTACAAACTCAATACAAACATATTTTTGGCCTCGCCTATCCCAAAACCTGCTCCCCGAAGCTTCTTACACAACTAATACACAAATACATAGCTTGAACACAATTATAGACTGCTTTTGTTACGGTCGGAGGTTGTCGGAGGTCGGATATTTTATGTTAGGGACTATTAGGGCAAAGCTTTATCGTAGTTTGATACCTGTTTTATCTGATGCAAACAGTTCTTTTTATAAGCTGTCTAGCTTAAGTAATGTATACTTTTGTGCGTTGTACGACACACATTTATCTTGGCGAACTTAAAGCATTTTGGTCTGTACGTACTTCATTTCTGATGCACTACCAGGAATAGGTTATATGTCGGAAGGAATAGAGCTTGCTTCCTAGATCATTTTCTTAGCATCTAATAAATACTACATCGGCATATTCCTGGTATGCTACGGTCCAGTAGTACGAACAGCACAACGTGGATTTGATCGGCCCATCGGCCTTATAATATCATCATTTCGAATCGTTGACTTGAGATTTACTATCCTCGCAGGTGAAATTACCGGAGTTAATTAATTCTAGCAGAAGATACAAAAAAAGGAGTTGTAGCTCCACATTTTTATATTGGGTTGAACTTTTTTACTTTTTAGTATTAAATATAGAATTTACAAAAGAGCACACTGATCCCATAAAACCATTTTTTTAAAGCGCATTCCTAATCTAAATATCCAGAAAAAACGCTCCATTATCTGGTTTGTCAGCGAAATGTACTAGAACGTACCTAAAAACGGCACCATAACTGTTGCACTGTCCCAAAATGTCTTCAAAAATGGAATCTCTCACGTGAATGCGCGGCATACTGTGAGCTTAGTGCCGAATCCACGCGACTTAGTAGGCACTAATAAAACCGAGAAAAAAATGATAAAAGTTTAGGACAGAAATATTCCCTCCAAGAACGCACAATGTAAAGCAAGCGACTCTGGACATAGAAGTAATATACAATCAAGATCTAATCCAATAGTAGACAAGGCGAGAACGATTACGTCTAGCACGAAGCCGACAAAAAATGCATACTGAGTACTCTATCGTTGAACCCAAATTTACTTTCTCGAACAAGCTATAGCTCTACTCTCGATTCGTTTAACGTTGCTAAAAAGTATGAAACGATAAAACACGCTTATATAATCGAGCATTGAATTCAAATTTAGACACCATTAGAACCAAGTTATCCATAATTCTTCTCTAGTTGTACTGTTTGAGTATGGTTCTGGAAAACAATCTTCGAATACATTAAAATTAATATTTTGTTGATCGATAAGGCTATGATGAGCAAGCTAACACGTTTCGCGCGATGAAAGCAAGTGCTTGAATGCGTACAAAAATTGTTTGAGCATCTGAAATCACCATAAATGTAATGGCCGTGATAATAAAAAAAAGTATTAATATGGGATTATTTTTATCAGCTTTTCTGGAGGTCTATCGCTAAAAGATCCGCATCAACCATCAAAACGATATACTCCGTAGTATCCACACGAAATAAGATGTGGCTTGTAACTCAATACGAAATACAAATTAAACAGAATGATGGCCGTGAAACGCACTCCTACGGGCAACCAAGGCTGGGGGGGGAATCGCTCCAAGCAACCCATCTTTAGCCAATAGTTAAGTAATACTGTTTTTTTTCGGACCAAAATTATGGGAGGCGAAAGCTCATTCTACGAGAGCTCCATTATTAAACGAAAGATAAAAAAGAGTCCAACGTAATTTCGATTATTTCCGCAGGATGTCGCTCGTATGAGAGACCATCATTGTGCTCGAGGTGGACGGAGTCGCAAGCGACTTCGTCTTCCGATATGAAATGATTACAACCTTTTGATGAAGTTAGGTATGTAAAAGGTGCTTTGGTTTAAATATTCAGACCTCCGTTCAGATCGTTGTAACAACTCTGGATTAAAATCCAGAGAACATTTCCTACATGCACTGTATCGCTACGAACCCTGTCACACAATTAGATTCTGATAGCTTGTGTGAATGTGCGAGCCGGAGCTCGGCGTCGACTAGGGTGCGTCGATGTCGATATGAATGGAGATGAAGCTAGCCAACATATTGGGAGATCAATCGCTACCACAATAAAAAACGACTGTTAACTAACTGGGGCTAAATAAAGGTAGTAGCAGTAAGCGGTCTCGAGTGTATTTCGGAAAGTAGCTCAGAGCTATACATACATACATACATACATACATACATACATACATACATACATACAGTAAAGAAAGTTTATTCGTTTTTGAACAATTGAAAACATTCGCTCAAGAATCCGTCGATGTTGATAGACTAAGCCATGGCCCTTAAGAGCCCTTGCACGGGCTAGAAGCAAAGGTTGCACTCATTTTGAGCTTGTTGTGACCCACTAAATTACTGCCTTCACACAGCAGATCCCGTTATCGATCCCGTGGCGTGATTTACGGCAACGCTTGTACAAATTGTCTCCAGGGCGTTGAACAGAGTCACAGCCGAGTTTGGGACAACGCACAGTTCTGGCACTAGGCTACCGGAAACTGCATTTTGTGTTGCTACTATTGAGCTCAACGCTACATCCACCACAACACTTCCCGATTTACCGACTAGGGCGAGCGACTCTTCAGGACTCGAGCTAGCGGACCAAGACACAAAGCATCGGGGGGGGGGTACCAGGAAGGCCGTGAAACCCCCCGACAAACGATCTTTATATGTGCTGAAGAGGTGCTTCCAGCGAGAAGGAATGGATGGAAAGATTGAAGGGCAGCATGACCATGAAGGACTAGTGGCGTCACTGGCCCAGGGTTCGGAGGAAGGGGCAGGGGCACGCAAGAAGGAGTCATCTGATAAGCAAGGCGGCTGGTTGACTGCGGGTGCCAAGCAGTCAGATGTGAGAGGCGGAACCACCCAAGAGAATGGACGGGGGGGGGAAACGCTGTACAGCAGCAGCCCAAAAGGTCCTCGTCATGGCGAGACCCAGGCCAAACAAAAAGCAGCGGAGGTGCACCGGGAATCAGAAAAACCATCAGAGAACAAATGAGCAGGGAAGATGGAAAGGCTTTTTTCAACCAGCTTAAGTTGTACTTGATGCAAAATTCACCATCGGCGTATACACTGCAAACCGTGACAAGGTGGGCAGCCCTAGCAAAGAAACGACGATTCCGGCGACACAAGGCGACAGTTTTGAAAACGACGACTGATGAACTCCCAGCGGATAGACAACTCAGGGCAAGATGGCAGGACGCGCCAACGGTCTGGCAGAAGGAGGAATACGAGAATCGGACAAGCTACTGGGATGTTGGGAACACTGAACATTGCCAAGGGCACTGTCAACTACTAGAAAAGTGGATAATTATCGGAAAGTTAGGACAATCTGAGGTGGAAACCAGACTTTAGTTCTGTAATATTCAAGGAGAGCAAGAGGGTAAACAAGCATGCATCAGTGGAACAGAACAGGTCATATCGTACTTGGGAGCCGTCACCTAAGGGAAGCACACAGCAACGGAAGAACAAAACATACAGGATGCGGAAGAAGAAGACCAGGCTCTAGTGATGATCATGAACCATGCACTAGAGATCCCAAGACCACCTACCTTCCTTGTGCAAACAATGGACGCAGAGGAACTGGCAGTCTCTACCGATCTATTCCCCGCCATGGAATATCCGTTGTATAAATGCTTGGCCCCTGGTCAGAAATTTGAGAAAGATATGCCACGAGAGATGATGCTACGCTTCATCAAAGCAGGAGAGAAAGCAGCACCGAAACAAAAACAAGAAGTCCAGGAGCTTATGCGAACGATGTCCAGAATTATGATGGGCGTGGACAAAAGAAAATCATTGTCACTTTTAAAGAGAAACAGGCGGCATCAAAATGGATTGGATGGAACATGCCGTTTGGATCAAAATTACTGCCTATAACCGATTACAAAGGTCAGCGTGAGCGAGTAAGAAAGACACATGAAGTAATTTCGATGGACTTTTACGAGTTCACGATGGCGGTAAGACGTGGGGCGGTCTCCATCAGAGACATGCACCGGTTTCTAACACAAGGGATGGGGCTGAATGTACAGAAGCCGAAGCACCCGGACGACAGCACAGGAGGCACCAACGACAAGAAATGGGTGGTCACGGTCAAGAGGCCAAGCTGTCCGGAGAACATCAGCAATGTAGCTTTAGTCTTAATCGGAGCAGAGGAGTTGACGCTGCATCATCACTGGATTAACGTCAACTGGCCTTGCCGCACGTGTTATTCACCGGAGCACCCAACGAAATACTGTAAGGGAGGGGTGGTTTGTGATACCTCTTGCCTTCGGCTCACAGGAAAGGTGCCTACAAGACAATCTATGGGAGCTTTAGCACTAGGCGAATGTGATATGCCCACCATCATCGCCCAGCTTCTGGCGCTATTACAGAAAAAACAAAATCAAAGTAAAAACCGGCGACGCGCCAGTGCCCAGCCCCGAGCACAACGGTAGAGTCAAATTGCAGACCAAGAAGCGGGTAACAGCAACTGAGAAACCGTCTTTGCATTGCGAATGGGAGGAGCACCGACAACCGCCGAACCAGGCTCCCATTCAGTCGAAGCAGCATAACACCAACGACGGGCGGGACGACGGAGAAGAGAAGCTAAACGTGGATGTCAACGCGTCATACACCAGCAAAGAAGATCGCGACCCAGGAACAACGGCAGGAGATGGAATGAAGATTGACGCAGGTATCAATGATCCAGAACAAGCCACCGTACAAACACAGGAGAAAACAGAGGACGTACTAGCGAAAGAGGACGAGTGTGAATTTCAAGCGGCAGATCAGGCGGAATCAAGCAACACGGACGAGGATGGCAATGACACGTTAGGAGAGGAACAGCAGGAGGAGCGTGGTAGATCTCCAACAAAACGAACTATGGCACGAGGACAGCTGGGACGGAATGTTGGTAAGCTGGAGGGTGACTGGAAGGTGCCCAAGGAGCCACAAAAAGCCGCAACTACGTCGCCTAAGAAAAGAGCGCCGGAAGCCTAGGAAAATGACCTCAGCCCGCTAAAATGAAGAAGGAAGACGGCATCGACACGAGCAGATAAGCAATCCCGGAAAGCTCGCTCATCGTCGCCGACCAAACACAAAAGACGATCCCATCGGAGGGCAGATTCAGCGGACACGCAGAGATATATGCACCAATTTTTTCTCAAGTGGCGGCGAGTGCGAATTTGTACGAGTAGCCGCCAATCGACTTCAGCGAATCTCTGGAAACCTGGTTGGGGATATTAGGAGGAACACTAATTGATGTTGCTGCCAACGGACACTGTGGCTGGCTGACTTGCTACGCTTCACTCTATAATGTCCAGGCGGGACTTCTTCAGCCATCGCCAGAGGTAATCGCAGCAGCCAATGTGCTAAAGAAAGACAAACCAAATGGAATACTGGCAGCTCTGAAAGATGAAGTGACATTACACCCAGAAGAGCTCAACGTAGAACTGGAGGCTAGTGGTATTCGATTGTTAGGAAATGCTGAGCAGAGAAGGCGTTTTTGCGCCTTACGGAATCATTACGCAGCGCAACGAAAAAAAACGGTGAACTCAGTCATGCCAACGCACTTCTGGGTCAGACCAGCGCATATCAAAGGGATGGCGATACATATACGTACTGGATGTGGGGTGGGAGGTGTGTGTGTGTGGGGGGGGGCTGACAACAGAGCAAGGATGCAGGCTTATGCGTACGAGAGCATAGAAGTACGAGGAGACGACGCTTTTGACTCAGGCAGAGTGTACACTATACAGACAAGACAAGCCGTGCAGTTAATGCAGGGCATCGTAAGCGCCGGCATTATCCCGCCTGTGATGGTGCTTAGATGGAGAGACACTGGAAATCTTTATCAAGCGATCGTGTACGACAAGGAAAGGTTTGACTGCTACAATACCCAGTTGAAAATAGTGGCCCCAGACGAAAAGACATCCTCTGTCAGCACGGATGGTCTACACTGGACTACATTCAATATGATTCAGAGAGGACGGCCACATCGGCAGTCAGAGAACTACGGGCAATCCACAGAGCCGCCAAACAGGAAGCTCACCAAGGGAATGAAAGTGTTGGTACAGCTCAGACAGCACAAAGTGGCAAGAAGGGGGACGCAAAAGACGCAGAGAAAACCGACATGCAACAAGTACAGGGAGCCAGTCACGGCTACGGAGTAGCAGTCGCTGTTGGAAAAGAAGGAGCGACAAAGATTGGTGGCACAGTGGGCGAGCAAGTAAAGGGGCCACAGACCAAAGCGGAAGCATTGGACCACTTTTCACTTACAGACAGTGGCGAAATCACACCAGGCGACACGATGGCGGAGTGCACATCACAAGTTGATAATGACGATCCCTCAGTATGGCGTTAAATCAACACGGTCTAGCATAACGATATGAAACGACAAGAGCTGCTGACCCAATTTTACGACGAAGTTACGGAGGAAGAACGGAAGGGAAACCCAAACAAGGATTTCAAACAATTATGACGGAAACTAAGGAATGCACAACGGACAGCAGCAAGAAGTAGACGGAGAGAAGCGGCAGAGCAACAGCACGAGAATGACTACACCATTGGGATGTCAACAATAAACTTACGTGGCATCACACTTGAAGCATCTAGGATCAAAACTGCACGGATTAAAGGAGATGCAGAGACAAAGAAAGAAATACGTCATTTTTCTGCAAGAAACGCACCTGAACAAGGAAGCGCATGAGGAGGCAGGTGCACAAGTAGTAGCAATGTGGGGATTCAATCATCAGCTGGCGGCAAACTACACATTCTGGTCGTCGGGAACGACACGAAAAGCGGGGGTGGCGATTGTGCTGAACCCTTACGAGCCAATAACAACCGTGGGGACTAGAATATTGGAGCGAGCATTTGGTAATGATCACTGGAATCATAGGAGGACGGGAATGCATCATAATCAACGTATATGCACCGTCGGAGCCTGGACAGAGAGTCACATTCTTTGGGACACTGTATAATCTTAAGTTGCCGCCAGGCGCAGTGGTACGGTGTGGCGGTGATTTCGACTGTGTGACGGACCGGCAGATCGATAGAATTGGAGGAGGAAAGTCCGAAGATGCGGGTGTCAAAGAGTTGATGGGTTTTATAAAGCAAAATGACCTAATGGAAACCGGTTCCTGCAATTTGCCGACGAAAGTAAGCAGGAATGACATAGTGGAATACGCAAGCTTACACCATACTCACAGACACAAGTCGGCATGAGGGGTAATTGGCACATCGAGACTGGACAGGTGGTACATCTCTGTCAACTCAAAGAAGCTAATCAGGGTGCAGATGACAGAAAAATTACCATGTGGGACCGATCCCATGGAGGTACTGGTAGAGCTGCATTCACCACTGGGAAAGAAACGTGTCAAGAAGAGGGCAATCATTTATCCTGCACCAGCTTACGTGCAGACGGCCACACGGAGCCTACTCAATACCCGATTACAAGCATTTCAGGAACAAATGAAGGACTTCGGCCCCAAGCAGCTAATAACCGAGTGGGACACACTCAAGGCAACAATCAAGAGAAACATGGTTCACCTGTAGACAGCACGACGGAGAATGAATAACGGATTCAGGCAAGAATCAGAAGGATTAACAAATCACCTTGTACAGTGTGGATGTGCACAACGAGCAAGCGACGAAACCAGGGCTGACCTGCTCGTCAAACTGAACCAAGTGTAAGAAGCGCGAAGATTTTTACGAAGAAGAATCATTGTGACCAAAGGTGTGTGGAGCTCAAAGGCATCCACACGGCATTTCTTTCGCCGCATTCGCACAAAATTCGGTAAAAATACAATCCCAACATTGGTGAGCAGAGTGCAGGGGTCACAGGTAGAGCGACATCATAAGCCAAACTTGCTAGCTGAAAGCTGGGAATCGATCTTCAACGGCAAGATCGCGGCGCCGAAACTCATACCAGCGTATGTGGACAGGTTAGCGAAGAAATGGGGGGGGGGAATTTGATCTCGCAGACATTGATAACGCGTTTACAGAAAAGAAGGTGGAGGCTGCAATTAAAAGATGCAAACGAGGCAAGGCATGCGGGCCAGATGAACTAGGTAATGAGTGGTGCAGGGACAACATGAGCGACCTCGCGCCGATACTAACAAAACTATTCAACACCTGCATGATGGAGGGCACAACACCGGCGTCCTTTGATGCCGCGCACATCTTCAGTATTAGAAAGGGGGGGGGTTACAAGCAACCCGCTGAACTACAGGCCCATTGCTTTGCTGAATACGGACTTTTGCAGCTCCAGAAACGCGCGGGGAATTTCCTGCCGTAGATAGAAGACCAAGTGAGCAGTTGATGTTAAAACTGAAAGTGAATTGAATCGTTAGCTTCGTCGCCGGCACTACATCTCGCTACTCATGCGTACTTACCTGACAAGCACCATTGCGACATTACCGTACATATAGGAACGATGCGTCTTCCTTTCCATCTGACGTCATCGTTCTGTAATCTGCAAATGTATTGAGTTCTCCTTCGTTTCTGTAAATCTCCAGTTCTTCACGCTTGCTTCATCCACTTCGCAATGCTGTCGATCTCTGGTAACGCCAGAGAACTCTTAATCCCATCACCACAGTCATCACGATCGACATCTTAATGACCACCTTATTTTGTCGAACTCCTCGCTTCCGATGGCGAGAGCGTTACGACCTGAGTCTGGCAGCGGCTTAGACAACTTCAACGTCTCGTTCTGGTGAAACGTCTGGGTTGACTTTGAAGATTCCAACAGCCTCCCTCGAAGTCTTGCCCAGTTGACCCACCCGTAGTTGCTCCCGAAGTCGCTGAAATGCCACGCGCTGTAGTGGCTTCGTCAAAATATCAGCAAGTTGCTTCTGAGTTGGGCAATACTGCACCATTACGTCCCCTCGCTGAATCACATCCCGAATAAAGTGATACCGGATATTTATGTGCTTGCTCCGAGCGCTGGTTATCTCATTCTTCATCGATTTAATCGCTGACTGGTTATCCACCTGTAGCACGATTGTCTTGTCCTTGGTCCATAATCCAAT